CCTTGCTTTTGTGTTCTCTCGGCCTGTAAGAGCGAACAAACAAAATTCGATAACGAATAAGATGCCATAGCAAACTAGCAGGTCATTTATTGGCAGAATTGTCAAGTGGTGGAGACATTCCGATTATCACCAAGCATACCCCGAAAAATCAATCCATGCCTATATTTTGCAAATCTCTATATGACACAATCCACCACCAATTACGACTATCCAGACAACATTTGATCAATCCAACTGTTGATGGATTTGGGGAAATAATCCACCACCCAAATCCATCAGCTAAATGACCCCTAAAGTAGTCTGGACAGTGAGGTATTGACATGAATTATAATGCAAGAAACTGTACCTTCTGCAGCTGTTTAAGTCCTTCCTCGACTGTAGTTGCGACATTCTGAACGTTGTAGTCTATTCTATCAACAATAGTACCCTGACTCGGCACAAAACTTTCAGTTAGTTTGCTGCTGAGATTGGGGAGGGGGGAAGAATTCGAGGATATGCAATTGATTACCCACCTGGTCTATCACGAGTACTGACAAGTCTTTCATGATTTGAGCAAGTTCATTTACAGACTCCACAACCTAATAAATAACAACGGATAAGAGAACAGATTGAAGTAACTCCAAATTTACAAGATCCAAAACCAAGGAGTGTCTCACTTGCCTGTTGAATCTCTCTCTCCCTTTCTGCTGTAAATGCCTCGGTCTTTTTAACTCTAGCCATTTGAAGATCACTAAATGCCTGCAAAAAATATTTGACAAAAAGTTACTCGCTCTTTCTGAAAATATGAAGGCAATGGTCAAAGGACAGGAAAGAAGAGACAGCACAAGTAACAGTGAGGTTTGAAATAGAGCATACCATGTTATCTAAACCATCCTCGTCATCCATTCTGGATCTATTACCATTGAGGTTCATCTCCAAGTCAACCCCATCTTGACCCTGTGTTGCAAGACAAAAAAACAGATGAAATGAGCCCAAGCTAGAATCAAAGGCTAGCTACCAATGGCAAGATACCTAAAACTAAAGTTTGGAAGAAAAGGTTGTAGTAGGAGTTTGCCGGAAGTGGACTCCTGGGGTTTCTCATATGATTTTTAATTGACATAAGACGAGTTATTACTTATTACAAACCTCTTTTTGCTGCCTGAGGCGCTTCAAGTATGTTGATTGCTTCTTGCGAAGTTCCATAGAAAGATTCTGAAGGTCTGTTGCTAAGGAACGCTGTCATGAAAACTTACTAACATCAGGCACAAGAACTTCTGCTGAGCAGTAAAAATACACTATAAGCTCGGGGATCCAGTATCATTTAATATAAGGCAAGTTAATAATCCTTATCACTAAGCAAAGGCAAGATGAGTTCCCTGTCAAAAGGCAACGGGAGAATAGATCTGAATTAGAGGGTCCAAACGGACAAAAAGCGGGGGAATACAACTAAGTCATACCTGAACATTTTTTCTGATATTTGAATCTTCTGTTGGACCCCCTGCTGAAAGTCTCTGCAGTTTTTTCTCTGATTTCTTTATAAGACCGGTTATCTCGTGGGTTAAACCCTCAATTGTCCGTTGGTCTTCTTTACCATCTCCAAATGAAGGCATCAATGCTTTGGCGTGAGCCTTGGCTAACTCAGCCATCTTCATCCGAGCACGGTGCACATTGGCTGCTATGTCTTCCGATATGTCGACCCAAGCAGGTGGTAGACCAACTGTTGATGCACCTTTACTGCACGAATAAACAATGTTCAACCTTCAAGCCTCTATAGCATAACTATTCAAATGTGAAATGCTTAAATGTAAACTACTGTCAGCCACCATAGATTCCTATTACCATCTGAACAATCTCCCTAACATATTATTGAAAAGATATCGGTCTTAGAAACAACAGAAGATGAAGATGAAACTGTCAACAATATGAAAATTTATTTTCCAACACTTAAATCTGCATATGATGACGTCCAAAATGGAATCAATCATCTCTTTTGCTTCATATCTTCTCTAATCCATTCCCGCTCCATTTCCATCCAAACTGGCTAAAATTGAAGTCACCCTATTTCATGAACTTATTCCCAAGGAAATTGCTCAAGCCTTACAACTAATTAATTTCTCACTAACAAACTCAATTGCACCTTTCATGCAGCCAAGCAAGACCCTTCCATTAACAGCAAAATGTAATCAATCAAATATCCCTTTTGCTTCACATCTTCTCAATTCATTCCAGCTCCATTTCAATCAAAACAGGCTAAAACTAAAGTCACCCTGATTTCACGAACTAACTCTAAGGCAATTGCTCAAACCTTACACCTAATTCTTCACGAACAAACTCAATACCACTTTCATGCATTCCAGCAAGAACCTTACAATCTATGATCCAAAACTAAGCTTCACAATTTACGCTGCACGGAAACTTACAACAGAAACGTCGTCTCGCCTAGATATTTATTACCATGCGAACAACTCATCTCCTTAACTCTATAAAAAAGAAACCGGTCACTAGAAATAGGGAAGTCACAGATCATATTTTTCTAACACCACTACTATCTCTATATGCTAACACTAGAGAGCAAAGCAGAACCAATCAGCCATCCAAAGTGGAATCAATCAAATAACTCAATTTTTCTTCACGTTTTCAGTAATGCGTTCCCACTCCATTCCAATTGAAACCCAGCTACCCTACAGTCTGACTGACTTTTTTCCATTCCCAAGCCAGTTGCTCGAAGCGTACACCAAACATTTCAAAACTCAAAACACTCAAGCTAAGCCCTTTCAACCTATGATCCTCCAACAAACCATATTCCCAACTAAGATTCTCAATTTACTTAAACAAAGAGATGAAGATTCCAATCGATTCTCACAAGAGACCAGAAAGGGAACCAATTCAAAGCAATCCCACTAGCTCGGGAAAGGGGGGAAAATGTAGACACGTTCGGCAAAAATAATGAGAAAGAAATGTACCTGGAATTACCGGGATCTTCAGTACTGAGGGGAGCGTAAGAGCGGTTAGGATTGAGAAAAGAAGTGTTGGCCAACTCAATCACCGGGCCGCCGCCGCGACCGCCTCTGGCGGAGGAGCTCGTCGAAGCAGACGACAACGGCTGCTGTGATGAAGAAGAGGAACTCGTTGGGATCCTGACGCTCTTCAACGCGTCCCTGTACTTCCTGAATATCAACGTCCGGTTCCTCGTCGCCATTGATCGAAATCTCGAGATGAAAGAAGTGAAGAAATCCGAAGGACCGTTTAATATAGGAACGCGGAATTCAGATTCGGGGCGGGGAAGCAGAGATCTGGAATCATTTCTTTTCTTCCTTCGCAATTGAGGGAAACCAAGTGAAGTGCGTGATCAGAGATTTATAGAAAGGAACGAAATTACACGCTTGTTTCCACGGCAGAGGATCAGGCCGCCGGCGGCGAGAAATTGGGCGGAAGCGGAGGAAAACTGCGACGGACGGAAGGGGAGAAAGACTTGACTAACAGACGGGGGAAAAGGACTGATCGGAAATAATGAAAACAAAAATTCATATGGCCAAAAAATTGATTTAACAGAAAATCGTAGAGTTCGTTGGCGGTTGGTCCAACAACAGTTGCTTACTGGGCCCGAAACTAATTGGGCTCGTAAGGAAGTTTGGACTACACAGTTGTCATTGTTGGTCTAGCAAGCTTAAGGTGGTCATTTGAGTGTTGACTTTGAAAAAAATAAAGTACTACTTGATTTTTTTTAATTTGGAAAATGAAGAATTACTGATAAATTTGAGTAATTATAGATTTGAAAATATTGTTCATGGGGTGAAGCTTTGATATATTTCCACATAACAGACTTTGAAGACATATTCCACACACGATTTTCTTTCGTCAAACTGAAAAGTGTTGCGATCAAAACTTAACTAAACTCTCCAAAAGTGTTGAACTTTGAATTAATGGAAATCTTCCACATAGATTTTCGGAAACGAGGACTTGTAACTTGTAAGAATGTTATTTTGGAGTCTTTCAATTCTAGAATCTTTGCTCTCAAAGATCTTCTTGTAAGCTATATTAATGTTATAAGAATCCTTCCCAATATGTGTCCATACCATCCCTCAATAAATTTTGAAGAGGGATACTTGAGATGGCAACTTGATCTTCCAAAAGAAACATCTCATTCTGCTTTTCCGAATCCCAAATGCTAGAATCTCTACTGATTAGGGAATCAATAGTGGTATTTGGATCCATGTCTCCCAATTAAAGGTTCTGGGTGAACTAGGGTTTACCCAAAATCCATAAATCATTCCATAGACGTAAGTTACTGTCATTGTCAACTCTCCATTGAACATCTTCTACAATTTTAGTGTTAACTCTCATTAGATCGTGTCACTATGGAATCCTCCCTAGTCATTCTCTCTTCTTCTTTAGAGTCAAAGCAGTTTAAGAAAACCAGACAACCTAAACACTCTGACGGGTGAGCTAATAAGATTATGGGTCAATTATGTAATTCATGTGAATGTAAATGTAGACAACTAGTCAAGCACATTACAAGTTACTTTTATCATCAACTTAGCTTTTTTTTTTTTTTGACAACATCATCAACTTAGCTTAAAGATTAATTGATTGGAGTCCTATAGAATAGTAACATATAATGCTCGTAGACAATGTAGTCAAAATTGTGTTTTAAAGTTTCAATATTTTCATTTTTACGCTTCTAGATTTCAAAACAGTTTCTACATAGAATCACACTTTTAACAGCATTTTATAAATTATGTAATCAAATCGCATTTTTACTGCATTATTCATAGATTTAAAATTTCAAATAGATAGACTTAATTGAATTTGAAATATACTAGACATAAGTCCAACAAATACATTACAAGACGATTTGAGCTATGAATTGCTAAATTCACAAACTGATCGAGTTAGTGTGGATTTAATTAGTTCGGACCAAATTTTGATTTTCATAATATCATCATTTTGCACAACATTTCGACCGAATTTCACGATACAGACGGCCTAGAGGGAGTGAGAGATAAAATACAAAAAGAGAGAAAAAAAAAAAAAGCCTTCTCTTCTTCCTCTCTCATATATTTTTATCACCTCTCTCTCCATCTCTCGCTCTCTGTCTCTCCTCCAAACCCCTCGAAACCTACCCTTATCAACATCTTCATCAAAAAAAATTCTTCCCCTTGGATTTCATTTCCATAATTTCAAAAGGGAATTTTTTTTTTCGAGGGAAACAAAGAAACTCCCCAACAAGATCACAGGTTCCGGACAATCAATTCGGCGACGACCTTACACCACCGCCTTCTTGCACCTTCTGCGTTGATCGATCGTTAGAAATTGTGGGTTCGAGGAAAACAACGATAAAAGGGGGGAAAGGAGAGAGCTTTTTTTTCCTGATCATTTCGTGGAAGGAGGAGGAGAAGGAGAAAGAAGAGGGGAGCTAAAGGGATACAGAAAGAAAAAGGCAGAAGAGCTATGGATGCAGATTCGTGGAGCGCTCGTCTCTCTTCTGCTTCTAAGAGATATCAATCAGCTCTTCAATCGCGATCTGGTGAGTCTTTTCGCCTCTTTTCTCCCCTTTCCAATTGGGGGCTCTTCTTGTTTCAATTGAGGATAATTTTTGTTTGAATGGTAGGAAAATCAGTGGGATAATGTGGATTGGGGAGGATTAGATGTGTTTAGGTTTCTGAATTGTGAAGTGAAATACCTGCATTTTTAGGTCGCTTTGTGGGATTGGGATTGTTTGGGTAAATAGAAAAATACGCGATGGAAGTTTTTGGGGGAGAAATTGGATTGGTTACCATTCACTGTTTGGCTGAGCTCTTTGTAGTTTTCCATGTTGAAAGTTTGAAGCTTCATTCCTTCTCATTTCAAGATATTTGTGATTCTTTGGGTTCTAGGAAATGAAAAGCATTGGTCGTTTGTTGAGGTCAATAATTTAATTGGCTTTATGTAGAAATGGGGACCCCTAGCATGGTTTCTCCCTCACATTTTTGTGGTGTAATGCTTAACATTGGTTTGGCCTACAGATATGTTTATGGGGTTTGAAGAAATCGATGTTGATGATGATATGAGGGAGGAGTTTCCGTGCCCTTTCTGTTCAGAGTACTTCGATATTGTTGGCTTGTGTTGCCACATCGACGATGAGCATCCTGTGGAAGCAAAGAACGGGGTATCACTTTCTTTCCCTATCTGATAGAAGTGGATTAGCTTAACATTGCCATTCTTGAGTACTTGGATATGCATCCTTATACATGGTTCATGATGTTATCGTGCTGACAACTTTCGTTTCATGAGTGCATAAAAATGGCACATAGAAAGTGCTTCATTTTAGTTTTTCCTTTTGTGGCTGTAGTGGAGAACGTCCCTCCGTTATGTTGACTACTGCTTTCAAGTTCTTGTAGTTGCCAACACCAAATGAGTCTGTCTATCTTTCCTGTTGTTGTATACTCTCTCAATTGAGTTGCACTGGTATGGTAATTGCAGGGTATAAACTCTTTGATGGTTAAATGTTGGCTAACATCTGGAATTGTCTTTAATAGTGGCCAATGCCCTATCACAGTTGTCAACCTCCTAGACATGGGCTGCTCTTGATAGATGAGTAGCACTGTGGAAATAATATATGACTCTGTACGAACTAGCAACTTAGTAGGATGTATACCTTCTGGTTCGTGGTCCCGGTAGATTTGGTCACATTAATCGATGAGGTCCTTCATACTATGCCTAAGTTCAGGTTGACGGCATTGTCTTCTAGACGTGGAAATGCATATTGAAGGTTAAATCTCAAGGTTAAATTTCACTCATGATGATTTCTATATTCTCACAGGTTTGTCCAGTTTGTGCCATGAGGGTGGGTGTCGATATGGTTGCCCACATAACCTTACAACATGGAAATATTTTCAAGATATCCTTTCCCCCCGAGTTATTGTCATTTCAGATACCAAACTTTTGGATTCTGATAAATCTGCTCTGATTCTCGCTAATATAATTCACATTACTTTGATGGTATTTCTAGCTGGTATATTGTTTCATTGCCAAGTAGTTAAAGCTTCAACTACTCATGATTGACCTGACCTTCCAATCCTCTTGAATTCCTTGACGAAAGAGCTTACATGCAGCGGAAAAGGAAATCACGCAGAGGCGGAGCTCATTCGAGCCTTTCTTTGTTGAGGAAAGAGTTGCGAGAGGGAAATCTACAATCCCTTTTCGGTTCTTCTTGTATAGTTTCGTCGTCAAATGCTGCTCCTGATCCATTGTTGTCGTCTTTCATTCTACCCATGGGAGATGATTTCACGTCTCCACAGACGTCCTTTTCAACTGAAACGAGTTTCTCTAAGAAAGGCCCTGAAGAGAGTATTATAGAAAGGTTTGTTATCTGACCTCGGCCTGATTTATGCATGAGATTCCAATTCCATGATGTCTAATCAATATTCTATCCCTTTATTGCCTCCTAGAGATGAATGTAGTCCCCATGCTAGTAAGATTATAAAGGGCATCTAAGGAGTGTCATGCTTAGGGGTTGGGCAGCCATTTGATATCATGGTTTCTCATAAAATAAATGCCGACTCAATCGAGATCGAACCATAGTGGAGGCCCTTTTGATCCAGTTGTGATCCTTATTTAGTTCCTTTATATTCGACAAGGTCATATTATGAGTTGGTCCAACCCGTTCCAGAACTTCATTGCATTAGACAAAGAACTAGTTGAGAAAAGGTTCTGCATTTGCTTGTCTGAATGCACATAAAGATTGTCATGTATGGTGCTCCTCGATGAGATATTGTTCGGTACAGATTTTGAGAAGCTTCACCTGGACTATAATTCGAGTCCTAATGTCGTTTTATATTTTGGTTATGCAGAAAAGCAAAGTCACCTCCATTGTCGATCAAGGATAAGGAGGAGAAAGCAAAAAGGAGCGAGTTTGCTCAGGGGCTCTTGTTGTCCACCATTTTTGGTGATGATGTTTCATAAGGACAAAGGGGGCGAAACAGGAAAACTCTGAACTGAGACAGGCCATGCTAAAATGCTCCTTCTTGGAAGAAGAAGAAGAAAAAGAAGAAGAAATCTTTAATGGTTTGTTTGTAGCAGTGAAATATGGAAGTTGTATTATCAAGTGGTTGAGAAAATAAGCTTTGTACTTTGAAGTAGTGTAAGTTTATCAATATGCTTTCATGTGAAACCTCTTTCTTAGTTGTTGAGACCTGAAAAGACTTTTCCTTTCAGGTCTCTTCGTTAAATTGAAAAGATAAAGAAAAGAAAAAGGCCAAAGAAGAAATAATAACCTCTTTTTTATATTAGTTTTTTTTTCTGTCTTTTATTGCTTTGCTGAATAGTTCGGACTTTGGAGTCATGAGTCATGACCAAATTCAAGAACACATAAAATGCCAAAAATATACAGGTGGAGGCTTAGGAAATGGAAACTTAGCTGGATTTTCCCACCCACAGATTAACTCCAAAAGAGAGAAGTATCCAAATGAAAAAGATAGGAACTTGGTGATCTCCAGAGAGCAGTGTTTGTGAAATCTTGTGCAGACCAAACAGATAAGATTCTATGATAATTGTGTCACCTTCAGCCCAAACCCCTATGATTTTACTATGATTGTTTCACCTGTCATATTTTAGGGGTCGGTTGCTTGTTGGATTTGATGGATTTGAAAAATGAGGGTTTTGGCTCAAAAAAACCTTTGGATTTATGAGAGATTTGTACCATCATGGATTTGAAGAGTCTATTGTTTGCATGATAGATTTGATGATATAATTATGATGGATTTGCTATAAATATAACTAGCCATCAAGGATTTACAAATCCCACCCCAATATGTGGGATTTACAAGTCCGTGGGGTCCACGAATTTGGATAAAAAAAAGGGGAACAAATCCGTGGACCCCACGGATTTAACACCTGACAACAAACAATGGACTTGGCTAAAATCCATCATGCTTGGGATTTGAGTCCCAAATCCATGATCCAAATCCATCAAGCAAACGACCATGTATATCAATGTTCGATCTAATACACACCTGACAAATTCGATTGAAAACTGAAAACTGAGTAGACCAGATCAAGTCAATTACACTTTTGATTCGCTTTTGATTTTCGTTTCTTTTGCGTAATCCATCCACATTTCGATTCGGTTTGATTACAGTTCCGACTGTGCCCAGCTCCTACCAAAATGGCTAGGCTTTAGCCTTGGTAGCTGAAACCAACAAGAGATTAGAGAAGAGAAAGATCAATCGAAAGCAATAAGAAGACTGAGGCACCTGATAAATATGAGGCATAGAAGAGACAGCAGAAAGTAATCTGGGTATCAACATCAAAAGAGAACGATCTAAACAATGATTGATCTGTTTAAACAATGGACGTATATGGTGGATCAAATAAGCATACAGAGCAAAGTGCCCCGATGTTCAAAAGTCCCATCTTTTCACTGAATCTATGAACAATTTTGACCCAAAAAATTGTGTTCTTACCCTAAAACCTATAAACCTAGACTAAGCCATTGTGGCAGCCTTGGCACCTTCGAATCCAATATTTTCACCACTACATCCCTCACAAATGATTCAAAGCAAGGTGAGCAAAAACCTCTCATTATGCTAGCTTGTCCGGCGAAGATTCTATCGAGATGCGCGCAGCTGGGTGGGGGTGGCAAGGGATGAACTTCATTCCTCTTGTGCTCAAGTCCACAGTGTGCTAAGATTGTGTGCGTTGAAGCCCTCACAACTTGCTTGAAGTTCTCTTGCCCTGCATCGGACAAAAAGGGCAAAGGCCAAAGTTGCTTCAACTGATTCCATATCCATGAAGAGGGCAATAAAGGGTTTCGAGAATTCGTAAAAGACGTCTATAGTATATAACCATATGCTAATGAATACGAATAGAATGAAGTACTATTTAGGCCCGGAGAGACACTCTGTTTAAGCCACTGCCCTATATGCTACTTCATTCTTGTCAATATTGAAAAGAAGCAGCTAACTTCAGGGACCTAATTGCTACCCGTTCAAATCAACAACGGGTTACAAATCTACTATGATGTCAACCAAAATAAAAGCATACCTAATTCATTATCTTGGGTCAAGGCTTTGGCATGGCCTTTCACCATCGATTGCAGGTGCTCCTTCAAAACGTAGAATTGACTGTCACCTTCATATGAGGCTAGATTGCCGTCAGACCGAATGCTTGCTCTATTGTTAGACAGATGGGTCTGCTCATATCCATGAACCAGACTTGTTCGCGTGTCTTCTCCAGGCCATAATGTCAAACTCACAGGCCTCTCGCTGGCTACAAAATTTGACGGCTGCTCAATTGTTGCTCTCCATTCGCTCTGTGGTAGTCTATTAGATCTGTTGCTCAAATTAGCCGGATTGATGTTGTTAGTCAGTAGAACCGCCATTTCTCCATGCTGGGCAACCCGAGAGTTGGGAACTGGCATTGCTTCCATTCTGCTAGACAGAAGGCTCTGTATGCGTCGTTGAATCTCACGTCTTCCCCAGACTGTCGATGCACCTGTTCCTGGGGAAGAAGCAGCCAGTGGAGATATTGGCAGACTGAACGTCGAATGTGATGGAAGTTCCGAACTCTGAAGCATTCTGTCTCGTAAACTGAGAGTTTCAGGGCTGTTAAACTGGTTGCTCATTGGCACCAGTTCATTGATTGCGTTGCTCATTTCCATTGTTCTGCTAATTGGGTTGCTCATTGGCATTGGTCTGATAAACGCCACATTGGATGAAGTTGCTGAACTCAGAAGCAGTCTTTCTTCTGCACTGAGAGTTTCTGGTCTATTAAACCTGTTATTCATTGGCATTGGTGTATTGAAAATGTTGCCCAATGGCATTGTTACTCTATTGAACCTGTTGACCACTGCTCTTTGATCAGGCGGAAAGGAGTCTTGAGCCTGGGCACTTGAGGAACCATAAGCAACAGGCTTACAACCTTCACAGTACCAGTTTCCCTCGGGCACTTGCCGCCCTAGACCGACACAGTAGGTATGAGCTGGCGAATCACAGAGGTCACACAGCAGCATGAGAGCATCATCTCCACCTTCATGGCATTCTGTGCAAATCACACTCTCATATGGATCGATGAAGCTTCTAATTTCCTCTTCAGTTGGTTGATAAACCTATATATGAAAGCAACAAACCGAAAAAATTGTAACTTGCGTTAATAAGTGGAGAACTGAAACCAACTAAACACAAGTGACGAGTATAAGGCTAAAAAGCAAATACAGCAGCAGACCTGATCACGCATGGGAACTTCTATGATCTCACTTCTCATATCAACTCCAAGCGATAATCTCCCATTCTTGGTGATTGTAGTAAACCTTTGCTTGCACAAGGGGCAACGAGATTCGACCTTCGACCACTCCATGATGCACTTGAAGCAGAAATAATGGCTGCAGCAGTCTAGGGTTCCTTTCAATCTTCTTTTATCCTCTTCTGTGAGACAGACTCCGCACACTTGCTTTGCAACCACCTCGGGTTTTTTGAATTCCTTCACCTTCTCTTTCCCCTTCTTCGCCATTAAATCTCGATTATCATCCTCCTCTTCATTTGTTTTCATAGAGGATGATGACGAACTCCTCAAGCTAGTCTTCTTCATTTCTCCTCCGAATATTTTCTGGGCTTCTCTCACCTGTTCTCTCTCCTCTTCAGAGATCGTGTACTCCGATTCAGATCCAGATGCCACAAGATCCGAATCAGAATTCACGGTGTACTTCCCTTTCCTTGAGGTTTTCTTGCTCTTTTTCTCTCTGGCAGCTGAGTTGCAGTCTGTGAAATCCACGTCGTCTTCATCATCGCACCTCATTTTCTTCCTCAATCGACGCTTCTTCTTTCTGCCATTCTTCGCAGTAGACCTTTTTTGAGCTCTCGATTTCATTATTGTAGCACTTCCGCTCGTTCTAGTCCTCTTGACCATCTTGTTCACCTTACTGCTCGACTTCTTCTTCTTATTCGCGGTTAGTTCTTCCTCCTCATCCAAACAATCATCGTCTTCTTCTTCTTCGTCATACAATGTTAATTCTTCATCCTCACCATCATAGTCATCATCGTCGTCATCAGCATCCACATCATCATTACCATTAACATAATCTTCATCTTCGTCTTCATCTTCTTCATACGAAACCCGACTCCTCTTTCGTGCTCCGGTTTTCCCATTATTGGATTGAACAGTCCTTCTACATGCTTTCACTACTTCTTCTTCCTCATCTTCTGAAGAAAACACTTCTAAAGAGCTTGCATACTCCTCAGATTCATTCCCCTCATGCTCAATCACATAATCCTCATCCGAATCATCAGAACCCTCATCTTTCCATCTACCTCTCTTCTTGAAACTCCTTTGACCAGTAATTTTCCCTCCTTTTCCCATCTACCTCTCAACCCACAATCAGCCACCAAATCCCCTAGAAACTGACTCCCTCTCTCAGCTCTAAATTATACCAAACCAGCCCACAGAAAACTTTCGAGTTCACTGAACTTCCATCATCAGGGAATTCTCGAATTCAAGACATGCAAACCTATCATGGAAGCAAAATCCTGGAGATTTGCCCAAAAGGAAAAGAATTAAATCCCCCTTTCAAGCTACCTTTCAAATTTCTTGTTTTTTCCTTCGATTCCACTCTAATTGAGCAACCCGATCGAAACTTGAAACTAACCTACCAATTTCTAAATCCCATGGCCACCTAATCCCAATAATTCCACATAAAACCCAGATCATGAAGGAATTCGGTTATCAGCTTCCTCAGCTGGCCGCAGTTAAACTCGCTTCCTTATCTGCCGATTCCGAGCTCCAAAATACGCCAAAAGAGGGTAATAATTTCATCTTTTGCCCTTTTGGGTTTGAATCATTCAATGAGTAGTTCAAAGCTAATACACTGAAAACCCTTAAACGGGATAACAATCGAAACCAGAGAAATTGATTAAAATAAGAAAGAAAAAACTTACAGCTTTACGAGCCTATGGATACAGCTGAGCTATACAGAGAGAGAGACAGAGAGAGAGAGACAGATGGAGCGAGCTCTGCGACGATGGGTGGGAAAAGGGCAGACGAGAAGGGAAAATGGAGGCTGGAAACCGATTTCTGCAGAAAAAGAAGGAAAGAAATGTGCTTTATTTGTTGGGTTAGCTGAAAAAAGAATTTCCAGAGAAGAAAGGAAGAGCCGCGTTAATGGGTGATTCCAAATCCGCAATCCGGTTGAGATTTTCTCAATTATGTGTTTGATTCTTTGTTTGTTTAATTCTTATATATTTTTATTTTTTTTAGTTTTGTGTTACAGCGAAATTTTTTATATAGTTAGAAATTCATT